GTACAGGGTTTTCTTTTGGGGTACTAAAAATGTTTTGGTACTAGATAGAGGTGATGGTTGCAAAACATTATGAATGTGCTAAATGTCACTAAATTGTTCACTTTAAAATAGATAATTTTGTTATGTAAATTTCACCTCAATAAAAAAAATTTCACATTAAGAAATATAGATAAAACTGACCCCTTTAGAACTCTTCTCTTCAAAAACATTGCTCATGTTCTTAGATGGTGTCCAGCTACCACCAATGACCGCCCTAACAGGGAACACAACAGAAGAGTCCCTGATGGAGCAGGAGAAAAGTGGGCTGCAGGACTCAAACGCTAGTCAAAAGACCAGACTTAATGGTTTGACTGAGACTGGAGGGACCCCAGAAGACATGGCCCCTGCACTCTCTGTTAGCCCAAAACTAAAACCATTCCTGAGGCCAACTCTTCAAACAAAGATTAGACTGGACTATGGGACATAAAATGATACTCGTGAAGAGTGTGCGTCTTAGCTCAAGCAGATACATGAGAGCAAATGGGCAGCTCCTGTCCAGAGGTGAGATGAGAAGGCAGAGAGGGTCAGGAGCTGGTTGAATGGACACCAGAAATCCGGGGTGGAAACGAGGAGTGTGCTGTCACAGTATGGGGAGAGCAACTAGGGTCACTTAACAATGTGTGTATAAATTTTTGTATGAGAGACTAACTTGAATTGTAAACTTTCACTTAAAGCACAATAAAAAAAAAAAAAGAGTAAAAAAAAATTGCTCATGTTCAAATGCTACTTAGTTCTTGGAGATTTTTAAGATAAAACGCGTTACAAGTTAAATTATTACTATATATGCACAGTAATAATCATTGAGGGGTATACTGATGTCCATTTAAAACATTGCTAAAATGCTTGACAAACATGAAAAGAATACTGCTCTGACTTACATTTGTAAATAATGTCTAAGAAAAATATAAATGAGTCATTTATTCCTCTATAACAGAAAGTGACTCCAATCAGTCAGCTCAACTACAAACGAAAGGTATACCCTATCTCCTGGCTTCTGTTATCATGAACTCAATTTTTTTTTTTTACTATAATTCTTCCCCCAGACCTCAACCAATCAGGAAAACATTGTGAACCAATAATAAGTGTCTAACCTAATATTATATAAGAAATAAGCAAGATTATATAATAAGTAAACAAGTACAAGTCTGAGCAATAATAGATATAAATAAAAACACTAAAGTGAATTGTCTTGGAGATGTAATACATTACTTCAGATCAGTAAACTTCACACGTTAAAATGGAAAGAATCTATCCTAAGAAACTCTGGAGTAAAAAAAATTCCTTTGTATAAATGCCTGACAAAATTAATCTTATACCACAGACTCCAAGGCAAGTCCAAATCCAACCTAGGATCCAGGATTAAACAAAAGAAAAGAGGATCCTACGGAACAGGCTGATTTTGAAATTTATTGCGACTGTTTTGATACAGGTCAATCTGAGGATTTAAATCCATCTGAATCCAACTATGAAGAATACCTGAACCCCTTAGCATTGACAGGGCCAAAGCTAAACCAGGTCAGAACACCATGTCAAGGAACGTCCTGCTCTCAGGTGTCCACTGAACAGAGATCATTTATCAGTTTATGCTTCACTTTGTTGGATGCGAACCATTTTCAAGATATATTTAAGAACAGACTGATTACACCCCATCTAACTCTGTTTTAAGTCCTAAAAGCCGGAGAAGAGAAAGGCTATTAAGTGATCTATGAAACTTTTTCTTTTCTCTTAAAGAAAAAAAAAATTAAATAACTTTAAATGTTGGCTGACCCAATTTTAACATCGACAGTTACTAAAATTGTTTTCAAATTTTCATAAACTATTTCAAAGACACAATTTAGTAATTGTTTATGTAACAAATTAAAGCCAAGAAACAATTACAGCAATAGTACAAATCTGTCCTAGGTATAGGGTATGAGAGCATTCAGATATACTAATAGCAAAAATAAGTTTCTTTTGTGATTCATATGAATAAGCACTGTCCCAAATGTGTAAGTGAATATTTAAAATCCGTTGCTGTTGAGTTGATTCTGATTCGCAGCAAACCTACAGGACAGAGCAGAACTGCTCCACAGAGTTCCCAACGAGCGGCTGGTGGATTTAAACTGCCAACTTTTTGGTTAGCAGCCGAGCTCTTAATCTCTGCACCATCAGAGCTCCAAGGGAATATTTAGCAGGGTACAAATAATAATCATAGAAAGGATATTAGAGCTAATGACTAATACAATTATTATAAAACATAGTTTAAGGTCAAAACAAGTAATGTTAACATAGGAGATGCCTCAAAGTTTAACCGTGAGACATAAACTGACAGTAGTAAAGCATCTAATTTGTGTCACAAGACCTGGGTTTAAATAAGCTCTTTTACCTATTAATTATGTGAACTTTGGGTTAATTATTTAGCTTCTCCTAGCCTCAGCTTCTTCGTATGTAAAGTGAGGACAATACTACCAATGTTAGAGCATAACTAGGAGGATTAAATGAGATACTGCTTTTATTTATTCAACAAATATGCTTTGAAAAACTTAATTTTTATTATTACGTACAAAATCCCCCTCTTCCAATCTCTTCAAATGAATCATACATTAACTTTTAATACTACCAAGAAAATGTAAATCTGATTCTTAAGCTACGGTCCCAAAACTTCTTAGAAGGAACTTCGTAAATATTACTTGAGAAAATCTGAACTGAAGTAATCAAAATAAACATTGATGCTGAAGATATGACTTTCTTTGAGGGATCATATCTTAAAATAGTTTTGACACAAAATAATTAAAAACAGAATTCCCCTAGAGATTTTTCAACATTAAACAGAAACAGGAAAACTGAATAGCCAATTTCAAACATAAAACTTTAACACAAGAAATCTTGGTTTTCCGGAAAATGAGGTAAATTAGTTCTTGATACAACATATTTTTGCAAAACAAAGTACACTAATCACAATTTACAAACTCGTAAGTTACTACAATTGTTCTAATAGGATTAGGGTCACAGACAAATTTAAGTATCATCACAATACAGACTTTATTTGTACTCTGTACTCACCTAAGAAAATTTAGCATGAAAAAAATAAATCACACACTTGAGCACTTAAAGTATCCTTACTGAAACACTTACTCGCTAAAATTTTATATTAGCAGGAACCATGTGAAAGTTGTTCTTTCCTCACCACTTAAAAAAATCAAAACACCCACAACATTACGCTAGGCATAAAATGAAAGCCATTAGTAATATTCATCCCACTATACGTCAAATCCTAAACAACAATAATTCAGCCTCCATGTTTATTAAATGGCAATCTATTTTCTGCCAATTCTCACCGCAGGCATGTTCCAGGAACTAAACTAGGGCTGCTGTTCATAAACTTCATATAAGCTGAAAAATGCTTTTAATTACGACAGATACAAACCAATGCAAATTAGAAATTTACCCTAAACATCGGTGAAAGATACTAACTGGCATCCTCCCTACACAGGTCAATCTTCCTTCATGAACGAAAGCCCTTAGAGATGGACTGTGCAACTGAATGTTAAATAGTGGAAAGTAATCTTCTTTGATGCATCCAACCAATTTTAATATAAATTTCTGCACACCAGGTAGAAACTAGAATAGAAATAACTTTAATCTTTTTTTTTTCCCCCTCACTTGGAAATGAAAAAGCAAGTTTAGGGGAAACAGCAGTTAACTGTTGATGTTTCAGACATCACTATTGTATAAATACAGCAATTACAATGAAGAGCTGTCTCCTGATAAGCCTAAATATTCGAAACAACTTCATTTCTAGTTTTTGAAAATTATAATAAAGTTTTGAAATCTTACAAAATATGCTTTAGAAATCAAAATTTCAAACTCAGAGGAAAAGATTGGTCTTGAATAATTGTAGGACAATTTACTGAAGGCAAAATTACAGCATGAAGCAGAGCAAAAGAAGTTCTACGCCTGGAGATGAACCACTTCTGTCTCCTGAAGGGGTACTTCATTAGGTCCCGTTTATGTTAATGTTTCTTCCACTGCACATTAACAACTCAAGACGGCTCATTTTAAAAAAAAAAAAAAATTCTATTCAAACATTACAATTTGTCTTTCCGCTGCCAGTAACTGGCTTTGTTTCCAGTTCCATGGACTATTCTGGGATGTCAATATATTATTACTACTCCAAAAGAGCCCTTGTTTCACTCTCACCGGGGACGTGGGCATAGCTGATGTTTAGAGCGATCTGATGCTTGGAGATGTTCTGAGAGGACCATCCCTCACTACTCCATCCCTCTTCATCCCTTATCGATAATCAGTTTACCTTGTGTTTTCTGTTGTTGTCGTTGCACTTAAATGTTTTAAAAAGACACCTGCACACACGATTTCCCCACCGCCACCAGGGAGAAAGACTATCAGGCTCGATCTCCAGGAGCTCCGGGGAAACAGACACCGTAAAACCCACTCGGCCAAGGAAGGGGAACGCTTAAGGGGTTGGGGGAGGGAGCAGCCCCGAGGTGGAGGGAGGCAGAGGCGGCGCCTGTTTACAGACGCCTTCACTCTCCCCCACCCCCACCAACTGGGGGTCCAAAAAACATTTCCTGCGCGGACACTCTACCCAGCCTAGGCCGTCGGAGTAACAGATGAGTGGGGTAGCCTTTTAGCCCCCTCCCTCTTGCCAAAGCCTCTCTCGCCCTCCCCCTGGCCAGGGCGGCGCCCGCACCTCCTTACGGCCTACCCACCCGGGCAGGCCCTCCGGGCGGCACGAGGAGGCCCGAGGCCTAAAGGACGCCGGCCACTGACAAGACCCTCGGAGCCGGCGGAGCCCCAGCCGGGCCTGGGGCCGGCCGGGCGGCCACTGCCGCCTCGGAGCAGAGAGTGGGCGATGAGAGCCCCTTCCCCGCCGCGGCTGCCTATTGTTCCCGACGAAAGTCCGGACCCCGGCCGCCCCGCTCCCTCCGTCGCCGCTGCCGCCCTCCCGCTTGCTCGCTCACCGCGCTGGTCAGAGCAGCAGCTCCTCTCAGCTCCGAGTCCCCGCGGCCGTCGCCACCGCCGCGGCGGCCGCAGCCGCTGCCGCTGCCACCGTCGACTCTGACTTTGCCCCAGGCCACCGGGCGACCGCCGCCACCGCCAGCGTCGCCTCCGGCCTCCCACCTGCTGCTGCTGAGGCTGCTCCTGCAGCAGGGGCCATCTTGTTAGTCTGCCTCTTCTTCCTCCTCCTCCGCCCGGTGGCTCGTTGTCCTCGTCCCCTTCCTCTTCCTCAGGCTCCGGCCCGCCTCCGAGACGGGCGGAGACGAGGGTGAGCCTCCTCCTCCGGGGGCGGGGCAAGCGGAGGGGCGGGGCGGGCTCGGGGAAGAAAGCTCTGAGTCACCCGCCACCAACGCCCGGGAGGGAGGCCGGCGACGCTCACCGTCCCTACCCCAAGGGCAGACACGCCGAGAGTTGAAGAACTGGTCGATCCGTCCGCCTTACCCTCCCCTCCACCAGCACCTTTGGGCCCAGTGGACAAGTGCCTAGACGGCGAGGGTGGAATTGGAAAATTTCTGATGTTTTTATCGAATCCTGCACTACCTCTATTCCTTTGGCTTTCTCAGCTCTTGTCTACTTTTGTTTTCTTTTTCACATCTTCCCCCCAGTTTTTTTCTTCTTTCATTCTATTCGGGTTCTCCATCACACCAGCTTTGCCCGAGTCACCCTTCCCACACAGTATTCAGCCTCCCTAAAGGTGCTGAAACAGCCCAAAAGCCCGGACACTGCTCCAAAACGTCTCCTCAGGCCTCTGAACGGGATGAGCTATCTGGGGAGAACCGAGGAAGATTTGGATCATAGAAGAGCTCTTGGATCTAAAAGCTAGACTTGTGACTATTGAAAGTTTCTTCTCATATAAAGGATATCATTTTTGGATTTTGGTTTTGGGGAATGGGAAGCCCTTTCAAGACAATTCCGTTTAGCCAAAACCTTCCTTTTGAAAAGGGAGAGAAATGGAATTCTTTTAATACTATACAGTCGTAATTTCAAAATAAATCGTCTAGAATAGAGGAGAGAAATGGTCCCCAAATAAACACCCGTTTAATACTCCTCACTCTGCACTATTGCCTTTTTTTCATTTCAGGTCTTGGCCAAGAGAGCAGAGATTTTACTTTTCTGTCCTTTCTTCACTGTATACATTGCCAAAAACAAGAAAAGTGCTATATTTAGAGAAGTTTCTGCCTTTCACTTGATAAATTCAATCACGTAACAGATAGTGTTTTTATATTATTTGTAAAACGTGTATCACACACCTCCCTAAACTCTTACCAGGGAAGAGTTCTTTTTAGTTGCTGACACCCTCCTGCTACTCAGATTTCAGCTTCTTTTTAGAAAATCTATTGATGTCTTTCTTGTTGATTGGAATTTACTCCCTTTGAAGTAGGCTAAATCTGTAACCTCTTCAACCTACTAAATAGTAACCCCAGCCCTACAAATGGGCAAACTTCTGGCTACCACAGTGGAATTAGATTAGCATGTGCTTTTTTTTCTCTCTTGGATAGCCTTTCCCTCCTCAAACAGCCAGGCCACTGCCCCCTGCTAGGAAAAACAGATTAATCTGTTTCTCTTGCTTTTCCTCCTCCTCCCTTTTTCTCACTCCTAGGGAACCTTCCACAACAGAAGGTTATAACAGCTGTTGCCAGGCAAACATGCCAACTTCCCTGTTCAGGCAAGCAAGTAACCTAACTTCCATTACAAGCAACCCAGATAATGTAATTTCTTTGGACTATTAATAGTTGTACCACAGTTGGTAAGGCCTCTTTAAAGTTCCCTTATAAAATATGTTTGCACAACTCTGTGAACACACTAAGAACTATTGACTAGTTTACTTTAAATAGATGAGTTTTTTATTACTTCATCAATATTTCAATTAAAAAAAAAGTTAAAAATGGAGGGGCTTCCCAAAGCTCATTTTCATGATATAATTCGACAGATTTGGAAGAAAAAGGAGAAACACTGCTTAGAAAGAAATATTAAGTGCTTGTAATAAAAACTAATTTATGAGAAGTCATTTGTATGTTTTGAACTCTTCAGTTAAGCTAGAAGTATGAGATACATTAGAGGATAATTTGTTCCTTGAGTTTGAGTCTATTTAGAAAAGTATAATGTGGTTAAGCAGCAAGAAAAATGAAAGATATTCTGGATTTTAATAAATTAACAACTTAGTATAAAAATTTTGGCTAATGAATTAAGCTTCCCCCCCCTCCATTTTGCTATCTACTTTTTTTTTTTAATAGTTATGCAACAGTAACATTTTGCAGGGAGTTAAGATTTGCTGAAAGTTAATATAAATAAAACTGAATAACCCCAAAACCCATTGCCGTTGAGTTGATTCTCACTCATAGCAACCCTATTTTGGTTTTAAAACTAAGTAAGACATGATGAAATTTAAATAGGATATGTATACTTAAATTTCTAAGCTCCCTTTCAAAATCATATGATTTATTTTAACCCATTGAAATTTGTATTAATTGTAGTGAAATAAATAGTGCTTGAGACACTTGTCAAGCTAAAATGATAAATTAAGAATGAATTACTAAAGACAAAGAGCTTAAATGTGTTTTACGGTCATTTCTGCTTAGAAATCACTATTTTGTAACTCATACAATTTAAACAATTTACTTTTATTTCACATTTAGTATCAATTCTGTTGTGCAATGGCTAGAAATTTAGACTCTGCCTTGGTCTCCGCCACAGATACACTATGAGTTGTTTTATATAAAGCACTTAGAACAGTACCTGACACGTAGTAAGTACTCAATAAATGTTTTTTGAAAATTCATTTTAAGTATATGTCATTATAGTCTTCAGTTTCTTGATCAGTCAAGTAAGGATGACAAGTCATCAAATATATTTCTGCTCTTAGCATTAACCCGAAAAAAAAAAAAGATTAATGCTATTTTTAAGATCATACATAAATTCGGTAAAATAATGCCCTATGAATTTTTCAATATAGTTTCTGATATGCCTGTACTATATTGTTTCTCCTTTGATTTTTTTTTTTAGAATAACCTGTAATACATTTTTAAGCTACTACGTGATCTAAAATTGCTCTAAAATATGTAATTGTCAACCAAAAGCACCGTTTCTCGAATTGTTGTTAGTTGCTATTGAGCCAATTCCAACTCATGGTGACCCCATGTGTGCAGAGTAGAACTGCTCCATAGGGTTTTCAATGGCTGTGATCCCTTGGAAGCAGATTGCCAGGCCTGTCTTCCAAGGCATCTCTGGTTGGGTTTGTACTGCCAACCTTTGGACAGAGTAGAAATGCCCCATAGGGTTTCCAAGGAGCAGCTAGTGGATTCGAACTGCCAGATCCTTTGGTTAGCAGCCAAGCTCTTAACCACAATGCCACCAGGGCCCTGAGACTAAGAAAAGTTAGATAAATAACATATCTACCTAACTCTTTGTTTATAGATAAACATCATGTTAGTGAGGAGGGATTTGGGGGAGGGGGCAGAGTAGGAAGCAAGAAATACAAAGATGAATAAGGCATGTGTCCCTGCTTGAAAGAAATTTAACAATCTAGTGGGAGGAATACAAGAAGATATGCATGTAGACAACTGGAGTATAAAGTAGCTTGATCCATAGAAAATATAAAGTTCTATGAGAGTTAAAAGGAAGAGGTAGTAGGAATCTTCATTCTAATGTCACAGAACCTTCCTTTTGACAGGCGGAAGTACTATGGTATGAGATGTGTACTCCAAACCCAAAACCAAACCCATTGCCATCTAGTCGATTCCAACTCATTGCCACCCTGTACTCAGAGGTATAGAAATGCAATCAGTTTTCAATTCAGGATAGTTTGGGGGAGAAAATGATACCTACCCTCAAACACACACGTGTACAAAATAGGGAGTACTGAAGCTAAGTCATTTGGATTTCCTGAACTACTTTAGATAAAGTAGGGGTGGAGGGGTCAGGAGGCCTAACTAGTTGAGTCCTCTCCATCCTCCTCAGCCTCTCCTTCTGCTACAAATAGATTCTCCATGACCTTCTACTCTTTTCCCCAGTCCACACCATTGCAACCCTCCTATTACCAGTGTTCATTAAAATAAAAAAGAAGCAGAGAAATGTGTCCTAAGCAATTGCTCTAAGGAAATTCAAGGAAACCAATAGTGTCCGACCTGTTGTTGTTAGGTGCTATTGAGTCAATTTTTGACTCATAGGGACCCCATATGACAGAGTAGAACTACCTCATAGGGTTTTCTTGGCTGTAATCTTTATGGAAGCAGATTGCCGGGCTTTCTCCCCTTCCTCCCACAGACCAGCAAGTTCGAACCATCAGCCTTTCAGTTAGCAGCCAAGCACTTAACCACTTAACTATTTGTACCACCAGGGCTCCTTAGTGTCTTAATTACCCTTCAGCTTTATAGTCCAGTCCCGAACCAGGTCCAAGTCAGCATCTGCCAACTAGGCCTAAGGTTGCCTTAGATTCAAGGTAACAATCCAAAGTAATCATGGGAGATATAGCCCAAGTTAGTTTTGGGATTTCCGGAGTTAGATCTCTACAGACTTGATTCCAAAAGGGTTAAATAAAATATTTCTGAGTCCTGCCTGAAATTGCTTCTAAACTGGCCTGCCTGTCAAAAAGGCCTCCAGCCCAACATCGAGCATGTCTGAACTTCAACTCACCACCTGAGACTTATCCCAGGGTAACGGTAAACAGAACACCTTTAGGGAAGACGCACCAGACAACTTTCAGCAAAGAGACCCATTTTATGCACTGCTCTAACAGCATTTTTTAAATTTACCCAGTTAAACCTGAAGCTTCTCTTTTTGTAATTACCTCTTGCATCATAAAACACTGATACTTTATTGGGTGTAATTTACTAACAACAAGTAAGATAATAGGATAAAAATATTGATTACAAAAATTATCCAAATCATACCACAGTTAGTTATCAGAAAACAGACACCAGAATTTGAACAGATTCAAGATTAATACGAAAGGATGAATCTTTGCTAATGATTGGAACTTCATTTGGAGCTCCATCTGTTGAAATAGGCAATTTTAAATATATTGAGATCAAATACATTTTGTAACCAAATGATATCCTCTAGTACTGATGCATGCTGAATATTTCTTGTGCAAATACTAGGTTTATTATTTTGTCATGAGTAGTCAGTCAAGAAAACGTTAGACATTCATGTGTAAATCATTCAGGAGATCAGAATTTGAAAGTTGTTCTTTAAACA